AGGAGTCTTTGCTGGATCCCCCATCTGGAGCCCCCTGCAAGAAGGTGCCCTCCAGGGTCTGGGGCTTGCTAAGAGCTGGGGCCAGAGAGCAGGGTGGGTCAGCTGAAGGCAACAGGGGCCCGGTCACCAGAGTCCAGTCAACATCCAGTGGCCTCTTCACTGTTCCTTCCCCCAGGCAGGTTGAGAGCCCATAGCACAGAGTGTTGCAGTTTACAGGTTTGGGTATCGCCAGTGGTGGGCCCAGGTATGAGTGGGCCTGGGGACTGAAAGGCAGGAGCTCAGCAGAGCTGGAGTCCTGCATCTTCTCAGAGCCTTCTGCTGGTGAGTGATAGAACAGGCAGCTGGTCAGCAGGTTGTCTGCACAGAGTGGGGGACCTGCCATCCCCATATAGTACAAGGGTAGGTATGGAATCCAGGAGGCCAACTAATCAGACTCAGCCTTGGGAGCACCCCCCATGGGGCAGGAGAAGTAGGACCCCTTGTTGCTGCAGGGTTTCTAGCTGCCAAGAGAGGGGGGCAGGCTGTGCTCAGGCCCCAAGTCTTTCTCTAAGTAAGTCAGCTTGCCGCATGTCACAGGCCCAAGGGTTCCCAGTGGTCACTTCTCTGCCATTGCTGTGAAGGCTTTGAGTCCTCCTGGGCCCCTGCTACTCAACTTCTGACCTGGGATAGAGGGAGAGAGGCAGGGGAAAGCAGGCTTCAGGCAAGCAACAGAGGGCTGCTGCTGGCATCGGCTCACTGCCACACCCAAGAACCTGCCACTTAATTGATACTCAGTTAAGACTGAGTGCATGAGCCAAATGACAAAGGTTTTCAATTAGTGTGTGTGTGTGTGTGTGTGTGTGTTTTGAGACAGGGTCTCTCTCTGTTGCCCGTGCTGGAGAGCAATAAAATGAACTTCACTCACTGCAGTCTTGACATCCCAGGCTCAAGTGATTCTCCTAACTCCCAAGGAGCTGGGATCACAGGTGCCTGCCATCACACTCGGCAAAATTTTAGTATTTTTTTTTT